CATGCCAAGTGGCCCCTGGGGGTTAAGAACTACGGGCCTCAGTGAAGCACCACCATGGCAAGCCTCTCCCCATGACTGACAATGAAAACTGAAGTTGGCTATACTTACTTTCTGTTCCAAGTCTGAGTTCTCGCCGACAGCTGGGGCCAGATCATCAAGGGATAAGAGATTGATTCGAAAATCTGTAATCAAAAATGCAACATGGCAACATTGACTCATTTATTTCCTCCACAGCGTTTACCAGAAACGTGCAGTCTCTGTCCTTAATAAGCCAGCACAGGGATTGACACACTTTTTCTCTAAGTAGTAAATATTTTCCACTTTGTATCCTAGCCTGTATCACAATTACTCAGCTTTGTCCTCGCGGTGCAAAGAGCCACCACAACCCATGCGTAAAACAAGTGGAGGCGGCTTATATACTTATATACTTTATAAACTATAAAGTTTGTAAACTTTATTTATAAAAACAGACACTAGGCCAGATGAGTCAATGGCGGCAACGCAGTGAAGGATGCGTGGTTATCAAGTGTGCTCAAGGTATGGGGGGTGGGGATGGGGGACAACTCAGGCAGACACAAGACTAGACCCGAAGTGTCCTAAGTTCCCATTTAAAACAAGTTAAGGGGGGCGCCTGGGTGGCTCAGTTGTTAAGCGTCTGCCTTCGGCCCAGGTCGTGATCCCAGGGTCCTGGGATCGGGTCCCGCGTCGGGCTCCCTGCTCAGCAGGAGACCTGCTTCTCCCTCTCTCACTCCCCTTGCTTGTGTTCCTGCTCTTGCTGTGTCTCTCTCTGTCAAATAAATAAATAAAATCTTTAAAAAAAAACAAAACAAAACAAGTTAAGGGCACAGGAGCCTAAAGTGAACCAGCACTGGGCATGCCAAACGGCCCGTCGCCAGTGCCTGCACACGTGGGTGCCAGAGACTTGGCAGTACAGAGGCCTCTGCGGAGTTCTGGTATTCCAGACAGATTTCTCTGGACCCGACAAATGAGCCCGCGCCTCCAGGCGGACGGGCAGTGAACATCGGCCAACGTCGACAGGAACTCTATTATGTGGTTCAGGTCAGGCCCTGAAGCACGGGAGCGGCGCGGGGTGTGGTGAGAGAGAGAGGGAGAGGGAGAGTGTGCCCGGCAGCGGGCACAGGAGGGAGCGGGGCCCTCTGGGCGGCAGGGACAGAGCTGGAGGCGAGAGGGGTCTGCCCCCCAACACCTGATGGTCCTAAGCCCCAGAGTGATTCCCCCTCATCACCACAGTCCTGGGGGCTCACCCCTCCTCCGAGCTCCCTTACTCTGACGGTCACCACGGTTCACACGGCGGGGAGGTCCAAAGACACAACCCTGGAGAAGCCTCTGAACTAAAAGGCACCCCGGCCGGCCCAGAGCAAAGGCACCAACCAGGGTGATTCTGGACTTGAGCACTTTGAACGGCGCTGGCACTGGCTGAGGAAAGATGGCACCGTCACGTCGGCCAACCTTCCCGCGGAGGACCAGCCGAGGCGCTTCACAGGCACGGTCTCACCAGCATGGCTCTGCCCCCACTTCGCAGATGAGGAAACTGAGGCACAGAGAGCCCGAGACCGCACAGCCAGTAAGAGGTGAGGCCAGGACGTCCACCCCAGCTACGTCAGACCCTAAACTCAGAACGTATTCACCACTCCCAGCTTGCCTCCCTCTCGGAGGCTACATCTGTGGACAGAGGAGGGCAGCGGCTGGCCACCAGGAGAGGCCCCTCCAGGCCGGCAGTGAGGACAGACGGCAGAAGGGCAGGGACCTGGGTCTGTCGCTGCCCTGCCAGCCTACGCCCACCTTCCCATCCACATGAGGGAGGTGACATGGGGCCGGGGGGGCAAGGCCACCCACTTACCAGCCCCTCGGGCCCAAGGATCAGAACCACGGTTAGCGAGGTGCCACATGGCATCCAGCAGATGGCAGCCACTGAGGGGGCCCAAAGGGGCTTCTCACACCGGCAGCCGAGGGCCGGGCCCCCTGCGTTCTCCGGCCCCCTAACGAGGGCACCTTTGTTGGCAACACTCCCCCCCCGCCTCGGCAGATCTGCTGCTGCCCCTACTGGGGCGTTCACACCCAGGTTAGTCTGTGATGGGGTTCGGAACACACCACCCCGACACTCGGCACCTTGGCCTACTGAATATTTCAGGCTGAAGGAACTTGGGCAAGGGCAGGTGCTGTGAGAGGTAGCCGCCCTTCTCCCCTGAAGCAGCTCGTAAGACCCTCGAGTGAGAAGTGCCCTCCCTCTACCCGCAGGAAAGGAGCCTCCTCTTTCCAAGATGGAGGGACTCCAAGAGGAATCCCAGCAGGCCTCACTAAGTGTGCCCCTTTACTACCCTTAGCTCACTGCCTTTTGTCCAATCACGTTTTTCCACGAACTTTCCACTCCTCATCAAGCCTAACATAAAAATGCTCACACACAACTGTTTCTTCGGGTCTTCATTTCTTTTACGAAGGCTCCTGTGTCACATAAAACTAATATTGGGTATTTATTTAACATTTATTTAACATGCTTTTCTTCTGTGAATCTGTCTTTTGATGCAGGGCCCCAGCCGGGACCATAGAAAAGCGATTTTTCCTCCCCTACTGCTGAGTCACGAGTTCCAGGTCCCCCAGCACGCAGGGGCCAGGGCGCTTGTGGGCCTGTGTGCCATCACCCTCCTGCCAACACAACAGCTGGCGCCTCCCGGTGCCCAGTGGGCCTTCGGGACACAGTTCTACTTGGATCTCATGATGAAGTACCCCAGACAGAAGACGTTAAGTGTTGGCTGCACATCTTTTTCCTTTCTTTTTTAAATACATGTGATACTAAGATAACAATAACGTTGGCGTGCCTGGGTGGCGCAGGCGGTTAAGCGTCCAACTCTTGGTTTCAGCTCAGATCATGATCCCAGGGTTGTGGGATGGAGCCCCGTGTCGGGCTCTGTGCTCAGCGGGGAGTTGGCTTGGGATTCTCTCTCTCTCCCTCTGCCCCACCCCCTGCTCATGCTCTCTCTCTCTCCTTCTCTCTCTCAAATAAATAAATAAAATCTTTTTTAAAAAAGATAAAAACAATGTCGAATAATGTTGAAATAATAGAAATGTCTAATCGTGACTGCTTAGAGATTTACTACCTTTTCCGAACTTAAAAAAGAAAGGAGGCAAATTTCTCTTTCACCAAAAGGAACACTGAATCGCCCTTCTGCCGTACGTGGCTCCAAGATTTTGTTTTTGGGCTATTTCTCTGTCACTGGTCAGGGTTACCAGATGAAGACATTAGAGATAGAACAAAAATCCGACTTGGCCCCTCCACCAAGAAAGAAGGTCAGGAAGCAGAGGGTGTAGTGTGAGCCACGCACTTCCCATGGCAATACCCAGTGACCGTCCCCCGCCCCGCCCCACCGGCCAGGGACCCTCCAGGTGGTCTCGCCCTTCCTGCCCAGGGTGACAGCTGGGCATAGGGCCATGGGTTACCGTTACTGCTGTCATCAGCAGCTTCGGAGAGGGACTCATCACAAGGCCCAGCCTCACTCCTTCCAGGAGAGGAGGAGAACTTGTCATGCTGCACCATCGAGGCTGACTTTGGAGAGGTGCCAGTGATGGAAAGCGATGCCATGTGGGCAGCTGTGTCCCCTGAAGTGTGAGTCTGTGAGGAGTGAGCTCTTGAGCGCACGCTGCGAAGGGTCCCGTCTGCGGACTGTGAGGCTGGCAGAGGTGATGTCCGAAATGACTTTGGGCTGGAAAGTTCCTCACTGGGTAGCGAAAGGATTCTTGGCTGAGTTGGGATCTGATCCTACTTTGGCGGAAATAAATGAAATTAATTACCGAATAGGTGACAACGAAGTCCTTACCACTGAACAATGTGGCCAGAGTGGGGCATGAGGCCAAGGATCAGTGCTCAAATTGTCTTTCTCTCCCTCTCCCCTCATTTCGAGGAGTCAAGCTACAACATTTAAACAAGATAATACTGGGACCAGAAATATTCCACAAATAATCAGAAATATCACTTGGCTTTCAAATAAATTTTGTTAATTACACCTTTTCTAAATTAAGGCCCCTGAAGGGCACCTGGATGGCTCAGTCGGTTAAGCATCTGCCTTGGGATCAGGTCACGGTCTCAGGGTCATGGGATCAAGTCCCACATCGGGCTCTGTGCGCAGCTCAGAGTCTGCTTAAGGATTCTCTCCCTTGCCCTCTGCCCCTCCCCCAACTCATGCTCTGTTTCTTACTCTCTCTCAAATAAATAAATAAAATCTTTTAAAAAATAAATAAAATTCATTACGTAAGTCCCGAGTACATGGTCTATGATAGCCTGGACCTTCAACAGAATCAAAATGTATATACAGATATTTTTTCCCCTTAAAATGCAGCCTTCCCATCACTTTACACCCATGAAGATGGCTCTAGTCACCAGTGTCAGCTCTGATCACAAGTGCTGGTGACGATGTGGAGAAACTGGAACCCTCATGCGCTGCTGCAGGGATGCAAATGGCCCAGCTGCTGTGGAACATAGCTTGGCATTGCTTCAGTACGTTACACATGGAATTACTAGAGGGCCCAGTCATTCTGCTCGTAGGGACAGACCCAAAAGAACTGAAAACAGGGACTCAAACAGATATGCGTACACAAATGTTCATAATAGCACTATTCACAGATAGCCAAAAGGTGGAAAAGACCCAAATGCCCAACAATGGATGGTGGATAGATAAGATGTAGTATATTCACACAATGGAGTCTCACTCAGCCATAAAAAGGCATTAAGCTCTGACCATGCTACAATGTGGATGAACCTCGAAAACATTACACTGAGTAAAAGCAGCCAGTCACGTAAGGTCACATACTGGATGATTCCATGTATATGAAACATCCCCACCAGTCAAATCCACAGAGACAGAAAGCCGATTAGAAGTTGCCTGGGGCTGGGGGAGGGGAAAATGAGGAGTGATTATTTAACAGGTACAGGGTCACCTTTGGGGCTGACGAAAACGTTCTGGAACCAGACAGAGGTGGTGGTTGCACATCGCAAATGGACTAAATGGTGCTGAATTGTTCTTCTTACAAATGTTACTTTTCGGTTATGTGATTTTCATCTCAATCGAAAAAAAATGCAAGTGCAGCTACGCCACGTTTCCCGTGTGGGGCCACTGACAAGCAGGTGTGGATCGCCACTGGCGAGCGGTCACACAAAGTGCTGACCTGAGGTGCATACACTTCCTCCAGATGTTATAAACTGCCTCATATGTCCCAAATCCTGTCACCCACAGAGCAGGCCCCAAAACAGGGAGCCGTGACTGGCTGGAGCCCAACCGTGCCTTGTCAAACCCCTTCCTTAGTAGCCCACGGGAGACGGCTGCTGTCGAGTCTCTAGCTCCGTGACACAAAGAGCAGACGTGAGGCTTTGTTAGGGATGAGTGTATGTGGGGCACCTGGGTGGCTCAGTCATTAAGTGTCCAACTCTTGATTTCGGCTCGGGTCATGATCTCAGCTTCCTGAGATTGAGCCCCACATCGGGCTCCACGCTGGGCACGGAGCCTGCTTAAGATTCTCTCTCTCTCCCTCTCCCTTTGCCCCTCCACCTGCTTGTGCTCTCTAAAATAAATAAAATCTTAAAAAAAAAAAAAAAAAAGAATAAGTACACACAGGGGCGCCTGGGTGGCTCAGTCGGTTGAGCATCCGACTCTTGATTCCGGCTCAGGTCATGATCTCAGGGTTGTGGGATCCAGCCCTGCGTCGGGCTCCACCCTCAGAAGGGAGTCCGCTTGAAGATTTTCCCTCCCTCTCCCTCTGCCCTTCCCCTCCTCAAATCAATCAATCAATCAAAAAAAAAAAAGTACATGCAAACCTTACCGAGGACAGTTTTGTCTGTTCTTTCTCACTGACTTTGGGGCTGCCGAAACACCGATTCGTGTATGTTTCTTTTTCTCTAGGAGATTCTAGCAAGCTTCCCAGCAACTCTTTCATTTCCTCCTCATCGCTGTCTGGAGAATCTAGTTTTCTAGTAGGTTTTTTCTCTTTGGGTGTTTGAAAATTCCTCTCTTTTCCAAAATGTGCTTTAGGGAAGGTATTTTCAACGCGTGGTTCCCTCCTCTTTAGAAACCTACTGACCCTCCCATTCCACGCATCGCTCTCGGCCATGGAAACTTCCCAGGCTTGTTTCTGGGAGGTTTCGTCCAGGCTGTGTGAAGAAAGTTTGACTGTACTCCTGGGGAGGACTGTGTCTGTGCGCTCTGGAAGACTGTCCTCAGAGGTCTTCAGGTCGGATTCCATGTCAGACAAATCCATCTTCGCCTTCCGATTCATGATCTTGGTTTCTATCTGAGCCAGCTTTGTGAGCGCGGCGCTGGCCCTGAGCTTCGAGGCAGTGGTCGGGGGTCTCCCTGAGGAGAGCTTGTGCCCACCCTCCACAACAGCCTTCTCTTTCAGAAGTGAGTGTTCTACACCCATGGTTTGGTTTCCTTTTAGAAATCTGCTACGAGCGGGTGCTATTTTGGTAAGACTTCTACTGATTTTCAAGGTTCTGATTTCTTCCATTTTTGAATCTTCTAAGGAAATATCACTAAAATCACCAAAAACATTGCGCGCGGGATGGCCGGTTCTTCTTATGGAAGCCATTCTAGGGAGTAAAGAAAGGAAAACGTAGAGTAAGAATACCTGACGTTAAGGGCGCCTCGGTGGCTCAGTCGTTAAGCAGCTGCCTTCAGCTCAGGTCACGATCCCAGGGTCCTGGGATCGAGCCCCGCATCGGGCTCCCTGCTCGGTGAGCCTGCTTCTCCCTCTCCCTCTGCCTGCCGCTCCCTCTGCTTTTCTCTCTGTCAAATAAATAAATAAAATTCTTAAAAGAAAAAAAATCTGACGTTCATATTGGGCCTTCAAATCCCTCAATGCCTCCCGTTTGAGAGCGCAGATCCTTCCTTGCAGTCTGGCTAGAGCCTTCCCTTCAAGCCCCACAATGACAATGAAAACGTCAACACCCAGTAGCACCGACTGAATTACCGTTCTATGCCAGGTCTTCAATGAGACGTGTTGAACGTTAAACAGAAGAGCCAGTGCTTCTCAGGCTCCAGTGGTGTGCCTGGCACTCTGCTCAGAGCTGAATTATCTCATTTAATCCTCATGCAACCCTGATCCCCCTTTTAGAGGAGGCCAAGAAAAATAAAAGCCCCCGAAGGTCAGGTCACCGGTCAAGGTCGCCAGTCAAGGTCACCTGGCTGGTGAGCCGCAGAGCCAGATTCAAAGCTCAGGTCTGATTCCAAAGTTCCCCTTCTTCCCCACCGTGCTTCGCTGCCTGGCCAGTTACACCCCCACTCGCTCCCCAAATCAGGGCTCCTCCTTTACCCAAGTGTCCCCAGCTCTCTCACAAAGGACTGCCCGAACACAACCTGTATATGTAAGGAGCCCCCCCCAGAATACCGTACTTTCAGTGTGAAAACCACTGCCCTGGAAAGACAGAGGGGCTACGGACACAGCACCCCCCACCAATGTCAGCTGCATGGTGCGTGCACATGCTGGTGTACATTCTTTGGGGGAGAGAGGTCAGTGCTTTCATCATATTCTCAGAGTTCCCACGTGTCCCTAAAAGAATAAAAACGACCCACTACAAGATTTCCAAAGGTTTCCAAAAAGTTTAAAATCTTAAAAAGATGGAAAAATATCGTCTGAGTGGGTGTGTGTTTGCTGCGGCCCCTTGAGTAAGGAACACGCCAACAGCAATGCAAGTGGGAGATGCAGAGACCCCGTGACCTGGCGATTCCACGTCTGGGAATTTACCTACAGTTACACCCAGAAATGCACACAGAGATGCGTGTTCAAGGAATGTCACAGCAGTATTGTTTGTACTCATCAAAAACCTGAACCCACCCATAGAGACCTGGTGCGATCCAGAAGAGCGCATGCAGATGAGGGAATACGATGGAGCCGTTAAAAGGAACGAGGGGGATCTGTGCATAACGTGGCCAGCATAATACTATGTGAGGCAGAAAAGACAAGATGCTCAACCACTGCTTGTTCCCATATTGTTTGAATGTTTTAGCAAGGCCATGCGTTACTGTTGTTTTTTTTTAATTCACCGTGAGACCTAAAAAAAGCCTTTTTTCCCCATCCCTGTCCACTTGGAAAACGAGCTCACTGGGATTGCCAGATTAAAAAAAGGACACCCAGTGACTTGAATTTACGATAAATAGTAAATAATTTTTAAAATATAAGTATAACCCTAATTTTTTTTTAAGTAGGCTCCACACCCGGTGCGGAGCCTAACACAGGCCTGCACTCACAACTCTGAGACCAAGACCCGAGCCGAGATCAAGAGTCAGATGCTTAACTGACGGAGCCACCCAGGCACGCCAACCCAGATTATTTTTATACTAAAAAGTAGTATGTTCCAAACACTTTCAGACTAAAAATTTATTTATTGGTTATCCAGAATTCAAATTCAACTGGGTGTCCCGTATTTTTATTTGTTAAATCTGGCAAGCCTATGTCTTCTGTGCCTTCCAAACCTGAACTCAAATGTTTCGTGCAAGGAAAAGTATTTAACCCAGCCCTAAGATTCTGTATAAGAGTGAATTATTTTTCTTTTACTCTCTGTTTCTCTGCCTGGTGTGCTGGCCTGCTTGTCCCCATCTTAACCACCAGGGCACTAAGGCCTGAGCTGGGTACTAACAGCACTAACTAACCTAGCACAGGCCTGACCACAGGGGTCAGTGAATACAAAACCACCCCCAACAGAAACAGTGCAGAATTCCTAGCCTGTGTGACACTGGGCAAGTTACTTAACCACTCTGTGCTTCAGCTTGCTCATCCTAAAAAGGTGGTAATAACTATGACCCTCATAGGATTCCTATGTTCATTGTAGGGCAGGAATAAATAATAAAATTTAGATAGTAATGTTTGGAATACCTACTTTTAACTGGCTTTTAGCTGGAAGGACGTGGTAAAGAGGAAGCGGAGGCCACTAGCACATTGACAGCTACCTTTATTTTTTTGTAACTGAAGCTCAGGAGAGGACTCGGCCCCGGCCATTCTGTGGGTCGGAGGGAAAGCCTGACCACCAGGCCAGGTTTTCCAGCATCTAGTTCTTCTGAAAGTTTCCCTAGGTTTAAAAATAAATCAATAACGGTTAAAGAGGCAAATTTTGTGTCAAGTCCATTTTACCACAAACTGATATATTTTTAAAACACACAATTAAAAATAAACCAATGGACAAAAGATATGAACAGACATTGTACTGGAAAAAAAAAAAAGATATGAATGGCCAGCAAACACATGAAAAGACGTTCAATGTCACTAGCCACTAGGCAAATGCAAATCAAAACCACCAGATCCCGGGCGCCTGGGTGGCTCAGTTGGTTAAGCGACTGCCTTCGGCTCAGGTCGTGATCCTGGAGTCCCGGGATCGAGTCCCACATCGGGCTTCCTGCTCGGCAGGGAGTCTGCTTCTCCCTCTGACCCTCTTCCCTCTCGTGCTTTCTATCTCTCATTCTCTCTCTCTCTGAAATAAATAAAATCTTTAAAAAAAAAAACAAACAAAACCCACCAGATCCCACTTCACAGCACCAGAATGCCTACAATCAAAACTACAGATAACTAGTGTGGGTGAGGATGTGAAAAAACTGGAACCCTCATACACTGTCATGGGGGATTGTGAAATGGTACAGGGGCCAATTTGGAAAACAGTCTGGCGGTTCCCACGTAGCCCAAGAAGATTGAAATGTATGCATAATAGTATTCGTAATAGACAAGAAGTGGAAACAACCCAAAAGTCCATTAACTAGTGAATGGATGAGAAATGAGGTCCATCCATCCATCCATAACGAAATACTATCCAGCAATAAGTAAAGAACAAATACAGATACACACAACACGCATGCATCTCGGACACATCATGCAAAGGGAAAGTAATCAGATGCAAAAAACCCCCACAGTGTATGATCCCATTCATAAGGATCATCCAGAAAAGGCAAATCCGCACAGTCGCTAAGCACCTCAGTGGTTGCCTGGGGCTGGGAGTGGAAGCGAGGAGGGGCTGCAAAGGGCCAGGAGGGATATCCGTGGGGCGACGGAGAAGTCCTAAAGCTGGATCGTGGTGATGGCCGCACCACTTGGTAAACTTTTATAAATAAAAGTACCTGAATTGTACACTTAACAGGGGTGAATTGTATGATAACGTAAACGAATCTTCAATCCAGTTGTTAAAAATAAGTAAAGCTAACTTTGAAACACTGGCTCCCTTCAGACCATCGGGCCCTTCCCCACCGCCGGGAGCGACCCACTCCCGACCACGCTCCCAAGTGGGCCCCGACGGGGAAACAGGCGTGAGGCGCCGGGCCGCCCTCCCAGCCCAGCTTCAGAACGCTCCCCTTTCCCCGCAACTCCTCTCCCGAGTCCGGACGCCAAACCCTCGGCAACCCAGCCAACCTTGCCAACCTCCTCCCACGATGTCCATCCGCAGAGGCCGCCACCGCGCTACCGCCAGCCGCTCCGGCCAGATGGGACCGTTGCCCCCGGCAACGGCCCTAGCGGGGAGGAGACTACATATCCCGGCGCGCGCCGCGCTCAGGGGACCAATGGGGCACCAGGTCACTATCGCGGTGCGTCATGGGAGTGGTAGTGCCGGGACGGGCCCGGCGTGCACTGCGCGCTGGGGGCCAATGGTGCCTCAGGTCACAATCGCGAGGTGTGACGGGAGTTGTAGTTCTGGGCCGGCCCGGCACGCCGCGGGGACCTCTGGGAGCAAAGGGGCGGTTACGAGAAGCGCAGCGCGCCTTCCATGGCTGTGGCTCACGTTCCGCTTTGGGTGGTCTGCATGCTGAGAGTGGCGCTAGCCACCGTCTACTTCCAAGAGGAATTTTTAGACGGAGGTGAAGAGGCGACGCCCGTGATGGTGGAGTGGGGGCGTAAGCTGCCCAGCCGAATAGTCCCGAGTCGACATTGCTCCGGTTCATTGCCGCGGGATCGCGGTGGCGAAGCCTCGAAGCTTCGAGCCTCCCCCCTCCTACCCCCACCCCGCACACACACCTTCCATGACTCAAATGAAGTTTCAGCCCTAACTAACCCGTGTTGTTTTCCCCCACAGAACGCTGGAGGAACCGATGGGTGCAGTCCACCAATGACTCTCAATTTGGGCATTTTAGACTCTCGTCGGGGAAATTTTATGGTCATAAAGAGAAAGACAAAGGTTAGTGTAGGAATGGTGAGGAAATCGAGCTAAGTGTCACACAGCCCCCCCACCACCACCATAGCAACCTTGCAAGGTAGGTGTGGCACACCCCAACACCTCTTAAAGCTGTTTCACTGGTGGGGAAACTAAGGAAGGCTTGGATAAGGTCTGGCCTTACTTTTTCTTTCCTTTCTTTACTTGCCCAAGATTGTCCCATTGTATACCAACTAGTCGCACGAGTTTGGAGACCCCAGATCTTTGACCTGCAAAGGGAAGAAAGTTAGGGGATATTTCTCATTTTTGTTTTCACTTTAAGAAGAAAAAAATGAGGATAAAAGGTACATGTTGTCAGGTGCATAGATCTTAGGGGTACAGAAAGATGAGTGTTTACATCTGTACACCCTGGTCAAGATAGGGAACATTTTCAGAGGTCCCCCTTGCGCCCTCCACCCACCCC